AATTTTTTTCTAGTTTGTGCATGCAATTTTTTTCCAGAAAGAGGCAGAATTCATGAATTTTTTTGCGAAAAAAAAAAAAAAAAAAAAAAAAATAACCAACCTTTAAAAAAAATAAACAAGCAAACAAACTCCCCCACCCCCAACAAACTCATTTGGAAATTAACACCTTTAAATGAGTGTCAGTACCTCCTCCACTTCTGTATGGGATACATACATGGAAGGGGCACGAGAAAAGTTTCACAACATGCTCTTCATGTGTAGTGAGTGCAATTTAAGATACAATTTACTTTCTTGGGGACTCATCCCAGATTGTGGAAGGCTCCCACCCTGACACTAAGGGCTATCACAAGCCTCATGAAGTGCAATGCATTTGTAATACACATTGTAGTGCGCACATATAAAGTAAAATACATGATATTGCAAGTGTAGTTCCTTTCCTGGGGAGAGGATGAAGTACATGCAATGGATACATCAGGCTTATCATTTAATATACAACTGAAAGCTGTTCAAACTTATAGGTACTGAGAATGGTACAAGAACCTGAACAGAATTCAGGTACAATGGTACAAGAACCTGAACAGAAACATCCCATGGAATAGGACTCTGGGGGTTATATAAACAGGGGAAGAGGCCACTGGCTCAGCACTCACATAGATAAAATAAGTACAATCATACAAGGGTTCTAAAGTTGTAGTTGCTACTATTTTGGCCTACGTGCTTCATTTGGTACTGAGCATGAGGTAAGGCACAGCCTTACATGGTGAGTAGGGTGGATATCTTCCACTCAGCCCTTAGCAAGACATCCATCTCAATTCCAAGTTGTGTGTCAATTTCCTGTGGTTCATTCTTTATGAACAGGGCTTTTAAATACCTTAGAAAGATATCATGAATTATATCATTCAGTAGTGATACATCACCACTATAATCTTTATTTTAAGATCTTAAAATATTTGATAGACAGGTTGTACATGAAGCTAGACCTTTGGTAACAGTATTGAATTGGCTAATAAATTGTAGCTGGCTGAGCAGCAAGTCAGAATTCTTCATTCATGCAGGAATGCCTTTGAAAACTATTCTTTAACTAGCAGTAAGACAGATATAGCGTGCCTTCCACACCAAAGGCTTAGTCCTGATGAAATTATTTTCGGAAGTGCTATAGATTTCAGTGGGAGTGGAACCGACTCCTCAAAAAGCTAACTGTTGAACTCTGTAGTGCTCTGCAGAAGGCATAAATACAGTCTTCTAATGACTACAGCAAATGTAAACTCTGCCTGACTACAAGCACATTGTATTAGTTTATAATAAAAGCAAACATTCATTAAGTTGTCTGTTGATGGCATTATAAATCCTTTCAGAAAGAGCCGCCATGCTCTTCATAGTGGAATGTGATAAAATATTAGTAGCCAAAATGGAAAGAGAAAAAAAAAAAAAAGTAGTTTGTTAAGAATTCTATACCCCAGGCTAAGCACGTTATGGAAACTTGGGGTAAATGCAAAGAAATGAGGCCCTGGAGAAATATTAGGAAAGCCCAACTTGGCTCTCACTAGAAACCTAAGGTCCTTTTAGCTTCTTCCCAGGAATAGCAGCATCACACATGTTCTTGTGAAACTGAAACAGTTATCGGGAGAGAGAGCAAAGCTACAAAGAAACAAGGAGGCCCAATTTTATGGTTCACCACTCTATCATCAATGCCTATTTTGCATGGGAAGACAAGGTGCGTACTGGAAAGCGGACT